ATACACATACATATACATATATATACACATACATATACATATATATATATATATATATACATAGAGATAGAGAGAGATAGAGAGTTTTATTCATTCAAGGCACAAACATTTTTGATTTAATTTATTAAGGTGACAATTTCTATATTACACATCTTTCATGTACATCAGCAATTAAACAGGAAAAAGAAAATATAGCATTACCATAAACCTCTTAAACCTTTCTTTTAGAAAAGAAAAATTTGTTATTGACACCATTTACAAGTTGTTTTCATATACAGGTGAGTGACAGTGGTTTAGTTGCACATGGAGGATTCTGGGAAACAACATAAAAGCAGTGAATTATGATATTCACACATTTGCCAACTTCTATATCCCTGGGATTTTAATTTGTGATCGACCCAGAACAAGATTAAAACAATACTCTGCAAAAATGTAAATAGGCAACTTCACCTATCAACTTTTAATCATGATACATTCGTTATATTTCACTGATTTTGTCTCAGTAGTTAAGCTGAAGTCACAATTAGCCATCGAAAAAGGCCGTGTGTCATCAGCTCAAGTCTTTTAGCTTTTCCACGCCGGTGCAGTTTCTTCAAAAGAACTTATCAAACTCCTCTTGGTCTTACTTCTCCACAGCGGGGCCAAGAAGGACTGACCAGGAGTATCAATGTGACCATAAAGCCCACATGGGCAATAATCTCTTGTGAGCATCAAGTTGGTAAAAAGGATACCCGCTGCCTGAAGGAGGAAATAAGGCAACCTGAGGGCTAATGACAAACATCTCAACACACATGTGGAAAACAAAGAGCCGAGAGTTAGGAACAACCAGGACTGGATACCCCACAAGCTGAAGAAGAGAGAGTGGAGGGATATCTTTTTAAAGTGCTGTGCTTTGTCAGGTCAACAACTCCTGCATGTTCCTCAGTAACCACACCTGTCTTTCAGTGTGTAATTATCTAATTTAAAAGGATACTTTAAAATGAGCATGACATCAGCGGAAATTTGACTGTTATGAGGAGAAAATACTAAAAGGAACATCTTCCTTTTAAAAAGGTCCAGTAAGGATTTAGGGGGATCTATTGGTAGAAATGGAAAATTCATAATGGACTATAATTCTTAGCTTAGAATGAGCCCCTTATATCTACAAAGAGTGGTGCAGCAATGAGTCCTACAACCAGGAAATGTGTTAGCACTTTTGGTTCCCTCTGGTTTTTTTTTTTAAATGGGCTTTTGGTTAGTTACCTGAAATAAAGTCTGTTGTAAACAAAAGCTTAAGATATTCTAACACCTCTCTCATGAATTTGTAAGCTTTAACTTGTCTAAAAAAGGCAGTTGCAAACAAGTGGCTAAATGAGACTCCTGCGTTTATAGCCCAACATTAGCGTTTTTACTTTTGCCGATTGCATCGACGCTTCAGAAATCATAAAACTGTTTGTGAAGACTGTCTTGTAGAACAAAACTTATAAGTATTACAAATTTGTTGCCACAGAGCTTGTTTTCAGCAGCAGTAATCCAAAATCCAATGGAAATATCCTGGCTTTTTGTTGAGGGAACCAGGGCAATGCTGACTTCCTGGTTGGCCTAGAAAAATACATCATCCCTGAACCACTCTATAGGTAGCGGGTCCCCTCACGGAGTCCACCATTTTACACCGACACGTTTCTACAGTAGCCCGGAAGGGATAAACCACTGGCTCTAGAGAGGGCCTTACGTGTTTTACGGTACCTGAAGGCCACCGTAGTTTTCCGACATGCTTGACAAGGGAGGGGTGAGTGGAGGGGTTTTCACAGTTGGTTGCAATCTGCTACCTCACCACTAGATGTTGCTAAATCCTAAACACTGCTCCTTTAAGTGTATAAAATAAAAAGGGGGGGGGGTTAACACCTGCATCTTTTTTTTCCAGTAATTTCTATATTTCTTTATTTTTCTTAATGTATTGTGTTGACAGGGGCAACAAGAGTTAAAATGAGGTTATAACTAACACCTTCCTTCAAATGCTAGATGTGTATGAGGAGCTACTTGCACTATATTTTAGACTTCTGCAAGGTATGCATTCAAAATGTCATTAAAGATATTACCCAAACAACTATTTTTTTTGGTTTGACTTGCATTTTGGTGTTTTTCACTTGTCAAGTACTCCATACACTGAAGTCATCTTAAAATACGTACTTCAACCCCATTGGATTTGACCACCCTATGAAAGTGTGTTTGAAGCTTATATAAAGAGGAATAACTTTACTTCCAGAACACTCCCATTCCCCATCACAGTTTACAAACTGTCCCTATAAAACTAGGGTCAGTTTAAGTTCTGTTGAAGTCCTCCACATTTCCCACCGCTAGAATTAATGGAGGCTACAATACTAATGAAAGGGCTTTTCTCGTTACGTATATATCGGGCATGTTGCCCAAATCTCTTTGCAGCACCAAGATTGTCTGTTATTTAAGCATTAATTTGGGGGGCACGCTGTAAATTCATTACGGCGTAGCTATCATTTACTATTGTCACATACATAAAACAAGATCCACCTTAGACATGAGTAGAGAAGCAGATGAAAATGGGCGAGATTCGAGGATAGGATGGAGAAAGACAATGATGTGGATGATGCTTAAAAAAAAAAGTGGATGAAAAAAAACAATCTTCGAGCAACAAAGTTTGCTTTTTTTTGGTAAAAATAAACCCAGTTTTTTGAAAAAGCGCACCCTCTCAATCATGCCTTACATTTACCAGTTACTTTAATGCAGAGAAACTTAAAAAGAAGAAATCAGGAAGTCAAAGACACTTTGACGAGACACTACTGTTAGAACCCGTGACCCTTCCGGTTGAACACTGGTGGTCTTTTTATTCCTTCGCGCTCCTTCACCCGCTATTCGAACCTCTCCTGGTTTCCCTCACTCCTGTCCAAAGCCTTCCGTCTCCTCGATGGCAAACATCAGCTTCTCCTTCATTTGCTCGTAGCTCTTGTAGGGTGGCAAGTCCAGTCTGTTGAAGCTGGGAAGGTTGAAATTCATTTGTTCAGCTTGGCATTGGACTCATTCTCCTCTGGCGGTCAATCAAAGCACAACCCTCTTTAAGAAAGAGCTGAATGGAAATCATATGATTGGCCCATAAAGAACTACATTCTCCTTATACCCATAAACCCTTGTGGCTTGAGGTCTTTTCTTGTTGGGATTATGTCAAAGTAGACAAACCAAACTACAGCAGGAATCACTTCGGCTTCCTACAATGAACTGCTACAAACAGGCTTGGTCGGACCAAAGCTTAGTCGAGTAGCAATGTCGACTTTAGGAGTGTGGTGTATGTTGTGGTAGAGTTTGCATGAACTCACCACGTGTGACTTCTGGGGAGCCAGTTTTCTTTTCCCACCTTCTCAATACAGAACTTCTGGGGACCGTTGCTTCCTGTAAAGTGGAGCACAGGTCAGTCGGAGCAAGAGTAACCAATCATCGACAGTTCAACGCACCATCGCTAGACAGCGACAAGAACCTGGGACAAAACCAATCTGTTCCCACTGCTTTACAACCTCAGTGAGAAACTTCACTTGAAAAGAAGAAAATAAATAGTAAAACAAGGTAATACACTGTAAGTACTGAATAAACACAAGACACAAATGAAGAATAGGTTTACAAAAAGGCATAACCGAACACCTGGCTGTATATTCCTTGATGCATTATCCACACTCTGGTCTCGATGCATATAAATTGTTATAAATTGATGCAGTTATTACCCATAAGGTCGGTGAAGCCTCCTACAGGCAGGCGACAGGTACCGGTGACAAACTGCAGCAGCCTCATCCTCTTCTCATTGTCCATCTCCTTTATAAACTGCAGAACAAAGTGCCGTCATTCAACAGCGTCATCAATAAAAGGACTATGAGGAGGGAAAGATAGGTTAAGGGATTGTTTTCTTTTTTGATATTTATTTTCTGATTTATTTCTAGTTTTATATATATATATATATAATGACCTTAATGTCTCTGTACGTTAAAGTAAATGTTTAAAAGGTGACGGCTTCAGATGCACACCGACCTGCCAGAACCACAAGATCTGTTTGCTGCTTCGAGCATAGTGTCTGTAGATGGTGTTTCTTTGCCAGTCTGCAAGGTCGATCTCCTGCATACCGCACAGCATCACCTGTAACGGGACACAAGTTGTTAACATCAAAAGATTAAGTTAATTTTTTATATATTTGATCAGATCTTTCTACAACACAAACTAAATGTACAGCACAGTATGTGCAGAGGTCTCTTTCCCATAACTCATCATGCATCCCATAAATGATAATCCATACCTCGAGCTCTTTGGCATCAAAGTACTGCAGGTACTGCTGAGGGAGGACCTCGTTGAAGCCTTCAAAGAAAGCCTGCGTCTGCTCCTCCACTCCTCTGGACATCCTCCACTCTGCTACCAGCCTGCAGGGGGAGACGGAGGCAAATAGTCACATGTTACACTCCACCTCATCAAACACAAAACGTTACAAATACAGTAACACTACGTGCTACATTATAGCCTGAGGTTTCACAGAGTAAAAACAACCTGACATTATTGTGTGCTGAATTAAAATGACAGAATCATATCAACAATCCACCTGATGTACTCCTCCTTGTTCTCCTCGGTGACCTGGAGGTCTCCTCCTCCTGCTTTCAGCTCATGGGTGGAGATTTCTCCCAGGATCTCTTTGTCAACGGAGAAGAACATCTCCAGACCACACTCCTCGATGTTGTTGTCCCTAAAGAGCAGCACGGACAATTACAGCACGACTGCTACAACAACGTACATTATCAATTCATACAACATCCCCATGCTACAAACTGGGTGTTTGACAGACCTGAGAGACTTGCAGCATGTCAGTCAAAATTAAAACAAGTTGCAAGACTTTGAAGAGTTGTAGCACCGATCTCTGAGGACCTCGATGCTGTAACGAGATCTGCTATAACAGTGACTGGAGCTCTGGTCTAAAATAAGACTTTAACCACATTTGCAACTCATTTTTGTTGAGTTCAGATTGGACTCACTGACAATGACTCATGGATACAAATGTGTCTGCGCGCAAAGCTAAATCTCTAATACTCTAACGCAGTGATTCTTAAAGTGAGACCCCTCGGGGCTCAGTGGCAAAATAATTTGCTATGCATCATAAAATTATGCTGCATCAATAAAAAGTGCATATCTACAATAAAACAAGCACATTTCTACCGTTCCTAAACTATGGGCTTTATTTCAGGCGTGTTTCCATCTTCATCTGAAATTCCAGACTTGGTTGTCGAGTCTGAACGATATTGCAGACTTGACTCAAAAGGCTCAAAACTTGACCTGGATGAACCATGCATTTTGGGACCAACTACGCCACAGTGAGACATCAAGAAATTACATCATCCACAAACACAACACACACAAGATTAAAAACTAGACTGGCGTGTCAGATACCCAAGTTAACTCACAGAGAGGTACACAACATCGTGAACACATGTACTATCTAATACCACCAGTTACTTAACCGCAGAATAAGAAAGCTCTATCTTGTTGAACTTGCCACAAAACACTGCTTGTCCACATGGCTCTCTGTACTCACTTGATCCACATGAGGGAGTTGTAGAACTCCGGGTCTATTGACTCCAGGTCTTTGAGGGCCAACGGCTTGTTCAGCATGCGCTTGTAAAATGGCAGTGAGAAACCAGTGTCGATGAACTTGCCGTGGAAAAGAGCCTGAGGGGACAGAAACACACAGCGCTTACTTGTTGTACTCTGTAAAGCCCAAAACCCGCAACCTACTCTTAAGATGATCTTTCTTGCCATACTATGTGACATAAATAAACGACTAACCATGGCGATGAAGCGTCCTATGAACTTGAAATACTTAAGGTGGTCAGGGTTGATGTAGGAGGCAGGGTTGATCTGGAGACAGTAGTTATCTTTCCCGGCATATTCAAACAGGCAGTACATGGGGTTCAAAACTTCATGGGACAACAGGAAGAACCATTCCCTGTAAGACAGGACACCACAGACATGAGGAAAGTACCACATAGCTAACAGCTGATAGCCTGCAACATACTAAACAGTAGGGGGAGTTCCCTTTAGTGCAGATTTACAGAAAAAGCAGGAACACATTTCAGAGAAACCGTGTTACAACATGCAGGAAACAACCCTCTCAAAAAAGTAAGGAGACGTTTCCTGTAGAGGTTTTGGTAAAGAGAAATAGCGCCAGTTAATTTAGTTGCAAAACTCAAAAAAAAAAAATCACTGGCAAGACACGTTGCACAATAAGTTACAAAATATCCAAATTATTATTGATGAGGACCCACGCAACTACAATAAACAAAAGCTTTTTGTTTTTAAACTTACCTGGCAACTCCTCCGTAGTCGAGGCCTTCTTCTCCTGGGAAGATGATCCATAGCCTCCTCCGCAGATCTTGAGCGTTGAAGCTCATTATCTAAAATACAGACAATGTATTTGGTCGTTGGCCAGATAGTTTGGTTTCATCGCTTAAGCACATTTTCCTAAACTCGGTTGCGCTTCTCAAAAAAACCTGATCGCAATCACCAACGCATTTGATGCTAACGAGCCGTCACTTACTCAAAACATTTAAACCTCATCATCGAGTCAATCACTGCCACCAAAATAACACTTTTTCCATCACTTAAGTCAAGGCGGTCAAATGTCTCAGTAACTGTGACAGAAGACAGAACAAGTATTGTTTCATTCTGGCGTTTCTCATTGAAACTTCAACACAGCAGCGCAATACTAAAACTCAATTTAATAACAAAACTCAATTTGAAAGTATCTTACCACTGCTACATATATTTAACAAGGCAGCATCACTTTAGCTCGAGGTAGGGCAGGTAAATAACAGTGCTCAGTGAGCTCTGTGTGGCGGCGTACCTGTGTGAAGGAGTCCTCAAACAAGGTTTTTCTGGTTACGGTGATCTTGATGTGTTGAGGCATCGCCAGTTGCTGGAGAAAAGGGGAAAGTATCAGAGGCATTTAGTCATTGGATTTCAGCTGTGACATGACATGTGACATACTGTTACTGCACAGTGTACAGGCACCAGAATGGGACTGGATTGGGCAATTGTGTGCATGAATGTCAAGACTCAAAGTGACCTTCAATGTAACATCCAACAGCTTAAAAAAGCTCCTTCTAAATAAAGCAGTAAAGCTTTGTTTATACTCGTGCTTGGTGCCACGGCGTAGGCTGCGAGCATGAACGGATACCTGTGAACTCATATTCATGAGATGAGATGACTTTTTTCATTATAGGGCTTGTACAAAGGCAATAAAGTAAAGTATTAAAAGCATTATAAAGAAACATAGGTTCAATATCCTGTAAACTATTTGATTTGGCTGCGAAATATTTACTGAAATTTAGATTATTAAGACTTCTTTCTAAAAGCGTTTAAAAAACGAATTGGCCTTCTTCACTACGGCGAGTATGAACTAAGCGTAAATGAGCTACGGATGCTCGTGGTACTTTTCCCGATTGATAAAGCTGGAAGAGAAACATTCACTCAAGGAGATCTTTACTGAATTACAATTAACCAGTAATCCTGTCAAACTGTTCCAACTCTTACCTGGCACCAGAATCTGAAGTACTGTACTTTGGCTTTGAAGTCTCGAACGTAGGTGATCTGAGGTCCGTTTTCACTGTGAAGGCAAAGAAGCACAGACGGACACGTAACGTGTTTTAATACATTAAAGCATGATAAATTGTGATCTTAACTTGTTTAACGCTCAACCCATGATTTTTATCCCCGGCAAAGGGCTAAAAATATATGTGAAAAAACATAAATTAAAACATTTTACCTTCAAAAAGTATGCTAATAGAAGCCCTATTTCTCTCCACACTGGACAAAAAACTCCTTACTACTTATCGGATCTGCACAAATTACCTAGGAGACTAATTTTGGATTCAACGCAGTGAATTTTGCAAAAAGGTGACAAGCGTGCATGCCTGTTAAAGAGACTTAAACGGAGCCTTTCAGACAGAAGGTGAAAACAAATGTATTCAGGCACACAGTATGAGAAAAATAAAGTGACTTTTGAACATTAAAGCATGTAAGCATGTTCCAGTAGAAACCCATAATACAAGTATGAGCCTAAAAAAAAAGAGCATAATAAGTCTCTTTTAAGCTCAGTTTATATCGTCACATTCGTATTCCCATTCACCAAACTGTTTTTTCCACTGCTGGAACCAAAGCAAAGTAACTACTCTCGAGTTATGCTCAACGGAGGTTTTACATCCGTGAGAATGACAGACAGGTGACCCATCAGTCACAAGTTCTAAAAATAGAGAGTTCAGCGACAGTGACTCATTTAGAGACCTGAGTAAACAGAACTACCACGTAGAATAGAGTTACCTGTTGCTGTATGTTCACTAATGTGTCAAATACAAGGGATATACTTTAGGTTGAAAAAATGACATCCTAATTAGCATCAAGTAAATATTTTTGTCTTAACACCAAGTTTCATATTAGGCATCAACACGTTGGTTTTCTCTGACTGAAGCACACATCAGTCAATTATTTCTGGCATGCAGAAGTGCTGGAAAGACTACAGGCAGAGTGTTGTTGACGGACACCTCTGGCAAAATGTATCCAATATATAATAGTTAAAAAGGAGCTACTAGTTTCCATGCTAGACTGTTGTTTTTTTTTTTTTTTTAAATCACCCAAAAGTGAAAATTCCATCCATAATCTATCCCAGTTATCTAGCCACACCTCTGAACTTTCTTTATTGATTTCAACCTCTTAGTGATTTCCTGACATTCCTTTCAGAATATCTGGAAACATTCGGTTGTACAAACATTATGGCGCGATGAGGAGTCCTGTGTTACGCAGGTTTGATGCCTAAAGGCCGTAATCTAGTTGTGTAGGAACCAGACGAATCTGCAAGCTCATATTTTATTTGCCTCGACAGATGGTTTCCCCTCCGATTTTGGACAGAATTCCAGCAACTTGAGATCCGACAGGCCAATCACAACCAAGATGGCTGCAGGTGATGAGGAACTGTTGAAGCTGCTGTTTCGCCAGTATTGAACGAACCGGACGGTATATGTTTTCTAAAGGAAGAACAATCGACTGCTCTTAAAGCTGTTCTTGATGCGTTTGCTGCACTTCTATTGGTTGTAGCTCTATCTAATTGGGTCAAGAGGCCTTTTGGTCCATGATCACAGATTACTTGATGCCTCTCTAGGCAACAAAGTAATACTGTTATGTGATTCTCAAGTCTCAAGCTTTTTGAGGAAGTAGAAAACAAAACGGTGGAGGACGTACAGTGAGGACTTTCCAGTGCGAGGGTCGATGTAGGTGGTCGTTCTCCTGTTGTGGTCTACAAAGTAGGGAATACCGTCTACGGTGAACCTCATCTCCCAGCCCTCTGGGAGAGGCTTGTCATTCAGCGAACTGAAGAAAAAAAATAATGAGATAAGATCAACATTTAGTGACGACTTGTTTCAGGAGAACCTCAAATGATACAGCGAACAAAGCTACGTCATATGAAAGTATCCGAAAGGACAACGGTGGAAGATGTAAACTGACCCCTCTGTTCGTGGGTCCTCCCACTGTGTTGCTCGCGTTTGGTGATGTACAAAATAAACTCTGCCATTCGAGTCCGTTCTCTTCTCTGAAAAGCCACAGAAACAAATTGATTATATAACTCGTATGCACTCAAAAAACACACTTTTCACCAAAACCTTAAACTTCCTTTAAAAGTTCTTTAACTTATTAATTTGCAAGACATTGGGGGTTTGGATGGATATTATGATTTCCCCCAGGTCAACTGTGGTAGCCTTAATCAATGTACTCAAGCCTCCATACAAAATCAAGCTAGCAAGCAAACCCTGAGGTAGCTCGAGGTCCACTTTCAGTCGAAAGGTCCCAGCTGAGGATAATTAAATTGTGCAACAGTCAGATTAGTCGGCAGTTTTGCAGACTTGTTGGTTGACAAACAATGGAGCGTTTTTTTGTTGACTTGTAGCTTACCGTAGCTTGAGCACAAAGCCATGCAATTTCACATTAAAAGTACAGTATTAAAAGTGTTATGTCTAACCATCTTGTACATGAATCACACTCTGGTTTACATGGAGATGTGTAGGATGTTTTCATAATTGCAGAACTTTGGTGAAGTAGGTCAACTTGTCTTAAAGGAAGTCAGCTACAACTGTGTTGGTATTGGAGCTCACAGTTGAAAACTACTAATCTTCAACAAACACCTTGATTAAGTTATTGAAAGGAAAAGTAATGGGGAGTACTTTGACACACACATTAGTACATTCACATAAAGTCAGTTAAAGTCTACACTATTAGAGGAATGGTTAATGTTTACCATCACAGGTTAAATGAGGTCTCAGAAGCCTGTGAAAGCAGTAAAGCTCTTACCCCATCCATGCGGCAGAGGCCCGAGAGGATCAAACTCCTTATTCTGAGCGGCTGACACCGGGTCTTGTAGCTACACGGCAAAGAATCAGAATCATTTGTGTCGATCAAAAAGCACCCAACGGACAACTACAGTGTTGTGTGATGTGATGCACAAACAAACGAATGGAGTTACTTTGGTCATCGGAACAAATCATCAGATTTAAAGACAGATATCATATACATGTTGCTGCAGACAATGACAATACTTTAACTCAATCATAACTTTGTTCTGCCTGTGAACACAAACTGGCTTTCAGTGTGCATTGAAACCAGTACATGTATTGAACCATCAGCATTATGCAAAGCTTTCTAACACTTAACCCCATGAACTTATGAAGGTGACACATTGCCGTTTCATCACAGGAGAACCAGAGGGCTGTTTTGCAGTAATATCCACCATGTTCCAGTTTATGAACGCCCATTCCGCCACACAGTATCGCATGAGGAAGTCTCACCCCGAATATGAACCTCTGGTTGAACTGCTGCATGGCTCCCTGTAGCTGGCTGCGCTGGTGCTGCCACTGCTCGTAGTTACGCACCGTCTCCATTGTGGGGCGCTGCCACGTGGTGGTTCGCGTCATGTGATCGACAAAGTAGACCCGACCCATCTGGTCGACGCGGCGCTCCCAGCTGAGGACAAATGAAATGAGGGACGACAGTGGGAGGAAGTTAAGAGTGAGTATGACTTTTGAAATCAACACAGTCTGCAGGGCTTGTACCTCAATCCCATGTAAACATCAATCGAGAAAAACTGCGTGTGAAAATAGATTTTTAGGCAGTTAAAAAAGGTACCCACTAGCATTTTCATGTACACAAACCATTATGTTTGCATTCAGTGTTTTTCACCAAAATGCATTGTGGGTATCCTTGGGGGGGGGGGGGATTCGCATACTTTTTCTTTTTACGTTTTAGTACCTACAGCAGCTGCCCTTACATAGTACATAATGTTGCATTCAATTAGGCAGTGGTGGGCCGTCAGGGCCAGCTAAGCCTTCTCTGCTGGCCTAAACAGAATCACAAAGTTATAGCTATTTTATAATTGAATAATAAAGATTCAGCCCCTATTTCTCTATGCTATGCTAACCCGCAAACGCCGGCTGGCGCCGGCTGGTTTTTGTTATTGTTCCGGTTCAAAAGGTCACACATCCCGTTATCTGTTACGTGAGCGCAGTCCACCGACAACATTATTATATTTCCCACAATTTAAGCTTCTGCATTTTCCAATTGCACTAGTATTATTCAAACGTATTGTTCGGTTCATAAGCCTCGTAGAGAACGGTTTAATACGAATTAAACATGGTATAATTACACCAATATAAACAAATAACCGTAGCTCAGTAGGACAGCACAGAAGGCCAAGGTATAAAATGCACAGCCTGCCACTGCAATTAGGAGATAGTCCTTCATAACATGGCACATTGAACTTTGACCCTCTTACTCATGTATCTGTTGCTCAAAGGATTGTGGGTCAGACTAGTCAGAGAAGCTTTTATACTGCAAAATGCGACCCTATGTAATAGAACGTCCCAGTATATTTCTGGTAGTTTGTGTATTGGAAAGCACAGTTAGATACACATACTATTTACTATGCCAGAAAAAGATTTAGTACGCCCCAATACATAGAATTTCAAATGTGGTATGCCAAAAATACCAGGATGCCCGATTGCATCCGCTCGCATTTTGCAGTTTGCAGGCCGACATGCTTTATCTGGCTATTCCGACCCACAATCCTCTGCGGAGCGGATAAATGAGCAACAGTGTCAAAGTTCAAAGTGCCATGTTATGAAGTGGTATGTGGCAAATTATGGGGCAGTGGACAGCAGCTACTGTAACCAACAGTGCATGTAAATAACATAACCAGTATCTAGTAACCCTGTATTTTAAGATGGAGAGAGCCTCTCATTTGAACTTGTGGGAGAAAAATATATTCGAAAATGTATCCATGTATATTCACATTCATACTGTGATATTGGCCTGTATCATTGTCATATGTTATTCACATCACTGAGACAGGGAGTCTAGTATAGTGGCCTTGGAGCCCGGGTGAAGATATAGGGGGGATGACGCAGATAAACAAGTAGGGCAAGATTTCTAACGGAGGGAAAAAGAAAAGAGCCGGTCGCTGTGACGGGTGGCCAGAGGTGGAATCAGGGGAAGAAGACTGTGGTTAATCAAACAACCCTCTGTTATGACTTGTCCGAGGTGCACAGTGTAACTTGTCTAGGTGAAAGTTCAGAGGAAGAGGAGGACATTGCCGAAGGGGGGGGGGGGGGGGGGGGGGGGGAGGAGACTTAGGGTAGAATGGAGGTATAAAGTAATGAACAATGCTCTTGTGAAATGAGTTGACTCCGGACAGCTCGGTTTCCTTGTATACTTTGTGATGCAAATAAACCTGAAGTGAACTGAAGAAAATCCAATCTCTGGTGTGTTCTGTGGGTGTTCGTTACCGAGTTCCTAACAGTGAGACCCTGTGGTGTCTCACCACGAGTCAGATAGAGAACAGTTCCTGAGCCAGCTGTTAGGTAAAGTCAAAGAAGCGGCTCATGAACTCGAGGACAAAAAAAACACAACAACCTACAAAATAGATTCTATAAATAGAATGCAATAAACTTCAAATGAAAACCATCTGTGTTTAAGAAAAGACCGATCAAAAAGGGAAGGACTTTTTTTACCCAGGGGGCAGCGGTTCAGGGCGCTCCCACGACGTTCTCTTTTCCACGTGATCGACAAAATACAGCCTGCCGTTGTGATCCACCCTCTGCTCCCATCTAGGTGAAACAACGGCAATAACAGTGAGGACATTGGGTAATGGTGCACGGCGCCAGCCATTTAGGTGACATATGGATTCATAACAGCTTTCACAACATGAGTCACCCGACGACAGAGGCAGACAAATAGCTGGTGGAGGTCACGATGCCGTCACAATGACGACAGTGAAAGAGCTCAAGTGGGTATTCAAGGAATTACAGTCTGAATGAAAACAACAAAGAGGGAGGCAAAAAGAAAGCAATGATGGCCGTGTGAGTTAGTCACAACCACATGATGTTCAGACACACCTGTGTGGTTTTCGACCGACAACAAGGTCACAAGTCACTCTTTCCGATTAATAATGATACGCTAGAAGCTGGAAAGGATTTCTCCACCATTACATGTGTCGCTTGTGCTTGCCCCCATACATGGTGTGTTGTTTTTCTTTTTTAGATCTCAGTGAAGGTTTGATGTGATATCTAAAACCAAACCAACCAGTAGTCCCACAATCCTCACCGTCGTACCATTACGTCATTTGTGGGAACCGTTTGTGTGCCGATTGGTGTGATGATTGTATCACTAGTGGCTGTGCAACAACCTGCCTTTCGTGGAAGATAAAGATTACTTTACTTTCATGTCTTCGCACTCGCACATCCTCGTGTTCTTAAAGCAGAGGGACGCCGTTTATTTTTGGCAGTATTTGGTAAAAATGTTATAACCTATCAGCATATTTTAGTTCAAGTGGGTACCCCAGGGTAGGCAGTTTTCTGGAAAAGGCAAAAAATAAAAACAAACAATTTGAAAATCCTGCCGCTCTTCTCTCTCTGTCCTAAGCCCCTCCCACCAGATGAGCAAGGGCACGCACTTCCTACAGTAAGAGTCAGTCACTTCAAACATCATTTCTAATCGTGATTCTGATGTTATATTGCAACAATTCTCTGAGAATGACCTTGCTGTTTTCTTTACAAACGAAGAGTTTCAGAGATGGAGAGAAAAATAGCCTCCTGCTAACCGCGAATCGCAGCAGTGAGCTCTGCAGAAGGCTAAACTGTTACAGCGATAGAGAGAAAATGACTAGCCCCCCGAGCTACTGCCGTAGCTGCAGCTGCGAGTAGAAGGCCTAACTAGTAGCAACATTGTCTCTCCATCTCTGAAACACTTCACTTTGTCGATACTGTCAGACTCTCGTTTTAGTTAAGTCTGCCTTCCTTTTTTGGGGTTGCTTTGCAGTGTTTTCCTGCAGGATATTTTGCCGTTGGATCAGAATTTCACAATCTAAAAGGGAGGTGCACGCGCATCTTGATTTGTAGAACAGTCAATAGGAACACCCTCTCTCTGAAATGACCTGTGATTGGCCAAATTCTAGATTTTCTAATGGCTGAAACCCGAGCCAAGAGGAGGTGCAGAAGTCTAGTTTTCTCTCAGACCACTTGATTTTACAAAAGCGTTATTTTGGAATTGTTGCCCTATGATGCTAAAAACATACCATCTGCCCCGCCTTTAATGTGCACACACTTCTATTTATCCAAACAGTTCCTCAGGATTTAACTTCGCCACGTTGCTGTATTATTGCTGGGGTGATGTAAATGTTATCCCAGAGTTTGATACACTACTTTGGGCTCAAGGATGACCCACTTTCTTTGCAACACACTAATCCTCCGCTGAGGGTTTGATTGATTTTTTTTCTTCTTGAAGTTTCTGTTGATGAAGTTGGCGTTTCTGTAACTTTCTCTCCCTTCTTTGTTCCATTTCTTTGTCTCAATTCATTACACAACACAGCAAAACATATAATCAGTTGTTTGGATTGGGCACTATAACACTATTGCTTAGCAAGACATTGGGAGATGAGCTAATACCGCTAACTCTATCAACATAATGACGCCTTAAACTTGCATAAGTGACAGTTGGGTCAAAAAATAAATAAATATTGTTCTGATTATTCTCTAATAAAATCTTCAGGAAAGATTGCAAAAAAGAGAGCTAACCCAGGGGGCAACGGCCCGGCGTTGACGGCGGGGACCCTTGGGGTGACAGCAGGGGTGACAGCAGGAGGGGCACCAGGGGTGACAGCAGGGGTGACAGCAGGAGGGGCACCAGGGGTGACAGCAGGGGGGACAGCAGGGGGGGCACCAGGGGTGACAGCAGGGGTGACAGCGGGGGCGGCGCTGCTGGTCGGCCGTTTGGTTGCCGTGGTTCTAGAGCTGGAGGCCGGCGCTGAGTTCCTGTCGGAGCCTGCCGACGGACTTGATTCTGGGGCTGTCGAGGGTCCTGAGGCCGGCGTTCGAACCGGCGTGTCAGAACCCGACTGCCCATCGCTGCCGTCAGCTGGTGCAGATCCGTTGCTGGAAGGCGCTGCGGAAAAAATCAGACATGAGAGTTAAACCGTACGTCCTCAGACTAGGGGAGCAGAAACACCGGTAGATGTAATGAAAGAAACATGTTTCTCCTTCGTTTTTAACCTCCTTCAGTAAATGTCTGACCTGGCGAAGAGGTGGGTCTGCGTGGGGTTGGAGGTGGAGGTCTGGAGGGCCTGGGTGGTCGGAGGGGCCTCGATGACACCGAGGGAGACCCCGAGTTGCTCACTGACCTTCGGCCACCGGGAGAAGACCTGTGCTCTACGCCGTCCACCGCTGGGGAGCTGTCTCGACTCCCCCTGTGAAGAAGAAGAAGAAGAAGGTTCGACGGGGATAAATAAAGCAGACACCAGAAATGTGACACTAGTGAAACCGGACTGAAGATGGAAACGGCTGCTGTACCTTACGGCATCATCCCCGTTGAGTTGCGAATTCCCATTCGATGTACCTGACGCGAAAACACAGGACATAAATAAAGCAGAAAGCAGCTGTTCACACATAACAAAAAACAGACAAACAAAGTAAAACATTGAACGGAGGAAAAACATTCATGAATCTGTACAGTTTGCTTTTTTTTTTTTAGCTCAACAAGCCAAATAAACCTTAACATTAAAAAACACATCTTAAACAGGCTTTTGATGTGAACTGTCCCGTGACTCACTGTGATGGTCGGCCTCGGCCGCAGCGAACGCCTCCGAGTCGACGGTCATGCCGTCCAGGCAGACGGACAGGTCTCCCACCACATCCGACTGGTCTCGGTCTGCACACAGCTGCAAGCTCTGCACCACCTCAGAGACTGCATTGAGACGACGACAACAGAAGACGGTCAACTGGAAATGTATCGTTCGATCGCTGCCGAGCTGCATTCTCTCTCCGAACTTCGTCAAAGTCAAACCAGCCATTCGCGTAGGCAGTTTACAAATAATAACTGTTAACATTATGTTGAATGCTGAATGTTGTTCTTGCTTGTGTCATCGAGGGCTCATGTTCACATCTACAAGTAATGTTTGATTACAGATGTGGTGATCGGTGTGTATTGTCATGGAACACCAATCAGCTGTTTGGCATGGGATTTGTATCCAGAGTTCTCCGTCATTAGCGCTGCTGGACAGCGTCCATGCATAACAGATGATCAGGCAGGGGACTGAATGGATTCTTTACGAGAAACAAAACCAAAGTTTAAAAAAAAAAAAAAAATGGACCAGGACAAAAACGGGATGAGACAAAAACAGCAGCATCTCTCAGGAATGTTAAGGGGAGTTCCTTGTTGACTGCTTTTTTTTTGCTCTGAAAAAGTCAGATACCACATCTGTAAATGCGTTGAAATAAGTTCTGTATCTTGAAAAAAAAAAAAAAAAAAAGAGGCCTCACGCTTTTCCATTACAATAAAAACGTATTAGTTTCTTCTTCTTTGTCATCAACGCTTACCACAACAGACGCATACCAGATAGGTCTCCCCCAAAACGTCTGGTGTGCACAAAGTGATGTATTTTACATTTCTGGAATAGTCATTTCAAACAGCCGTTTGAAATGACTAAAAAAGAAGAACCGGGTAAGTGGCAGAAATAGAGAGAACCACTGAACGAGCAACAGCTTCATTCACCCGAAAAACAAAGGAAACAACACAACACACTATGACACAAACCAAGATATAGCACCCAAGATGTCATGCCATTTTTTTTTTTTTTTTTCACAAAAATGGCATGACATGGCACTCCAGCTCTGAATACTGATCTAGCGTTTCTGTTTTATGGTGTCATCCTCACAATGCCCCTCCCCCTGAGCTCTAACAGTGGCTGCTTGTAGTCTCGCTATGCCCTGTGCCATTGATCTTAGTTTAGGTGGGGAAGAGCCGGTACAGGTTTGGTTGGTCTAAACAGCTGCACACGCTGCTAGTTGAAACTGGGCCACGCTCATCCAGGAGGATTTGGAAAAAGACAACAAGTCAGCAAATTTGGATGAAAATGTATTTCTAAAACAATGCTTGTATACAGATGACACAGACTCTTAAAAGAATAGTTGAAATAGTTTTTGAATGAATGTCATCCGTGAAAACTCAGACCACTGTATGCCTCATTGCACATCTCTAAACATAACAATGAAAGGCCAGGAAGAGAAATAAGTAGAGTGTAGTGTGTGTGTGTGTGAGAGAATGTGTCATACACCCACTTTTCATGTCATTGGACTTGAGCGTGTCACTGACGTCCAGCGTGGCCATACCCAGCAACACGTCGGACTTCAGGGTCTGGTGGCTCCACACGCGAAACACCAGTTTGCTGAATGGAGTCACAATCCTGTTGAAACAAACGAGGCATTGATACTTTGGGATGACAGACGTCCACGGAGGATCTGATTTCAGAGGGCCCTCAACTTCGCCACCATTTCATCGATGTTTCAAAATGTGAACGGCGGCAGAATTCGTGTCACGGCTCCGACCACCCGATGTGTGCGTCCAATTTTACGAGCATTTCCTTTCAATTATGTTGTGAAACTAAGCGGTGATACTCGTAGCAAAAAGGATTCAAAGTTAACTTTAACTTCAGCAGGTTTTTCAGATGCATTAGTCCTTTCGGCAGGTGACACACCACTGTGTTGGCTATCCATCAGCCACTGTGGCTGTGTGAGCAGCAACGGCCTTTATCTGGATGTGCAAGCAACCCACAGACAATGACGTTCAGAGGCTATTCAGGGACAACCAGTGTCCATGACCATCACTATGACAGTTGTTCAGCTAGCAACCGCAGGGGGACAAAAAACACACACACACACACACCCGATTACATCCCATAGTAAACACTTGTTACATAATAACTAGACCCCCCCATGGGTGCAAGACAAACTGTAGAACTCTATATTAAGAAGGTCACTCAGCAGAAGATCCTTGACGAGCTAAAAGGAAGAGGACGCATGTGTGTGTGCGTGTGTGAGAGAATATGCTGGACTGCAGGGAGTCACACGGTGTGCTAAATGTACAGTTTACGTTTAGAAACACGCTCCCTCACCACTGTGTGACATATTCCTAGTAAGTGCCAACCGCTGGTTGGAGATAGCATATCTTTATAGATCTTAAAAACTGCACACACACGTGCACCATTATCCTGAACTCGCAGAGTAACACTAGAGAGAAAATCCTTTCCGAAATCCAAGTCCTGGTGACTCTTTCGAAAAAAACAGAAGTGCTGCAGGCAAAACCTCTTGATTAGGGTCATATGTTACACCAGCAATCTTACGCAAGAATAAATATTTTGGTATGCTTTGGAGAACTTCCACAAGGTCCGGACAGTTTTCTTAGGAAATTATGATTCGCTACGCCAAATGCTACAGTCAGCAGTATTTCTTCTCTTCCTCAAAGCCAACCACCCAAATAAATACACTGGTTCCGCTAATCGTTTAACTCAATGAGCAGATAATACACCAGGACCAGCAACAGAAGTGTTTGTAGATTTGAGCTGCACAGCGATCACTAAGCGCTGCTCTAGGTTTCCTTCACGAGCTTCTAAGAAAATGTGAAGCGTGACAGCATTCTTGATGAGCAGGTTAAAGTTGTTGTAACTGATAAAAACCACCACTACATTTCCTTAAAACAAACTTCAACACCTCTTGTACTGTGTCAATAAGGGCTAGTCTCATAAAGGACAGTAGTTTTGTAATTTAAAAAGTGCAATATCAGGACTTAAACAAAAGAAATGAAGCATTTGTTTATAACAGTCAGGGTCGCTTTGAGCTGCCTGGAATACCAGACTGGTGACATGAAACACACCAGGGTTAATTATAATGAGGGTAAGATGTCTATCAAAGCTGACTGAATTGCCTCCAGGATGTTTTCTGTGAATAATCAAACATTAGAATTCCCTCGGTGTGTCCCTATGTGGCATATCCCAGCATGCATCTGCATATTTTTTAACACTATTTGACACGGGTCTGGCTGGAGTAAAACCTCTTTTGATGAGTCGCAACAGAATAATAAAAATTGTGATTATCATAAACGAGATTGCGTCAAACGGGGCCGGCAAGAGATTGACTCACACAGTGAGCGGCTGCTTCCATTTGGGGCTGTGGGTGTTGTTGCACTTCTCCGTTTTCTTGGACTGGCCGTCGACCGTCACCTCCACGTAAGGACTGGGACCGAACCAGTTCTTCCTGTTCTCTTTGAGTTTTGCCGATAGCACTGGAACAGGGAGCGGGAAAACGTTGACAGAACAAATTATCAAAAGGACGGATTCAAACGAGGTCCAGACCTTGACTAAATCATTCTGCTTCAAAGCCTTTGTATGTGTTTCAACTCTGTTCCTTCTTGCAAGAATAAATGTCCTGATTAATGATTTTACACCCGCTGTCGAGTAATATTTGTTATGGTAGAAAAAGCACAGGGGTTACTACATAACGTTAACGACGGCTCCGTCCTATTCGGCCCCAGTAAGCCTTGATAGTGTGAAAGTGAGCCAGCACGCACAATAAGCACGACACTCAAATTGAAGCTGGTAAATATAATTCAGCCATCATCATTTGTACGATTTACACGTGTGCTTTTCACAGTTTTATCTTAAAAGAAATACCTAATATTATCATCTTTTAAATGAAATGGCCTCATGTTGAATGTAAAACGAGAAAAAAAACACAAGTACATAGAAACGGAGAAACGGAGGAAGCTGTGTTCATTTTGGCGAAGACTTACCGATGATTTGTAGCTGTGCCTTCATAGGGTAACCGTTGGAAGTGCCCGTCTTGGTGACTCCACTTGCCATGACATAGGGCTGGGGTGAAGGCCTGCAGCGCAGACAACACGTCGTTAGGCTGGTGACTAATCACCTTCACACTGCTGCAGATGTGCAGCATACAGATGAGATCATTTCAATCGAGTACAGTTAGCCGGCAATATGAGAGACGAGAACTGAAAGGGCTACACCGAATAATTTTGAAGCTTCATTCATAACGTTTTGAATTCTAAATTAACATTCGAATGCTGTTTTTTTTTGTCTCCATCTCTATTCATTCTGTCTAAACGAGATGTTGCTGCACAGTTGCATAGAAAGATCAGGCTGCACTAGATTATTAACATGTAGAATACTTGTAGAAGTAGATCCCAGTGGTAGCTGCGTAGGATTTATTCTGACTTGTGTGATCCAAACACTTCCGATGATTCCACAGCGTTGTAAACTCAATAAGTCAAAATGTATTGAACAAAGTTGGACGTTATCATTTCCAAAAATCACAACATGTTTGTATCTAACTAAATACTACTAATACTGTATTTTTTTAGGATATCAAGCTCCTTTTCCTTTGGAGGCCAAACGCTGTAGGTCGCAAAAGTGTCCGCCAAATAAATGTAATGTAATAACGCCCTCTCATCTGGAGCATCAAACTTAACAGATAGGAGAGGCTACATTTATAAATCGTCTACCTGGAATCTATCCCCAACACTAAAACAGTATTTACATCAACTGCTGACATTTGCATTCAATATACCAAGAAGAACAGACTGACTATGCACTGAAAATATATAACGACTCGCATGAAGTGAAACAAGCCTGTTAAGAGTTACCTTTCATGTGAACACAGAAGACGTAGCATCATTATAGGCGGTAATAAAAGGTGACAAAGGTCAGGCCTGCAGACGGGGAAATACTGCCTGTATGAACCAGCCAGCACTGCATTTTCAACTTGAGAGTGACTCCAAAACACAGCCTGCTCTGTACCCGAGAGCCAAAAAACACCTGATTAAACGACGGAATGCACAAAGGTTACACCTCTCTGCTGTTCTGCATGCTATTAACATTTTAGGAACATTCTTTTAAACTGGTGGCTTTAGAGAAAAGCCTTTGAGCCTTAACAGGAATCAGGTCCTGTGATCCTTCCTCGGACCTGATCAGTGTGTCATTGAATGATGCCTGTTCCTCAATCAATCCAGTATACACATGGCAGAGCAGAAGAAAGTGAGGAGCTCCTGGGTAAACTTTCCCTCTGGCTACTGCTTTAGGCTCCGTCAATAATTCATTGCAAATGCTGACTTTGCAGCCCCGCGAGCCAGCCGACTGCGTTTTGAAGACAAGGGTATTCGCTGAATATTAAGCTCTACAATGGCCTCCCTTGACTTGGATTTTATTTTAACCAGCTAAATAACGTCATCCACAGGCCAGTAAACTGTGTTCAGTGATTCTGTGGGGATTTGACATTGAATTTGAGCTCAAATGACACCGTTTCCTTGGCTGAGGAGCTCCGAGTGTCGTCTCCAAGAGGATGTTTTGCACTTGAACGGCGCACTTTGAACAATATCACCTGAACAATGGTGCATATCCCCAAAACAAACCTTCGCGATGACCGACTTTATCACAAGGGACAAACAGGTTATTGTATTATGATCCTTCAAGGAAACAGCAGAGTCCCGTGTGATAATATTCCCCATCCATACATGAGTGCAATAACACGTTTTCAATTAAGGAAATTCATGGATTGACCTAAAGTACACCACAACAACAGGCATTTTATGTCATGAATTACTAAAAACTTAACTAAACACAAATTAGGTCTCAGATGAAAAAAAAGAAAAGAAAAAGAAGCAGGACACGAGATGTTGGATATGTTTTCATGGATTATTAATAGTAAAAACAACCAACCAGCAGTCACTTATTCAGCCACTAGATGACTAAACCAGCTGCAGACGAGTACACAAACAAACACAACCGTTTCCGTTTCGCTGTAAATTCAACCATTGTGCTTGTATCAACAAAAGATTTCTGACAGCTGGTTCCCTCAGCTCGCGCGAAGATGAGTTTCATCACTTATATGTAGTTTGTGTTAGTGCTTCGCAGCCGTATGTATATAATAGACTATATTGAGTAATGGCTGCTGTGGTTTCTTTCCAAGACTCGTTTTGTGTGCTTTGACAGTACGTAACGTTAATGTTACCGTAGAGCGCGACACCAGCAAACTACCGGATATTTAATAGAGTTAGGCGTGCTCTTCTCTCCGTATTACAACACGTAGCTCAGCGAGAAACAACTCCAATACATTTAATTCAGACTGAACGAGTAGCCAGTGTGTTTACTAGACATCGACGACAATTGACTATTTGTAATCATTGACGTTAACCCTCTAAACTTCCTTTTCGGTACGCTAAACTATCGAATGTTAGTTCACATTACATAACGTTAACATAATCCAACTAGGAACGGATAAGGAGCTAACGCTAACTCAGTTAGCCGCACAGTGAGGAACAGTGTGTCCAGGTTAGCTCACTGCACTGACGCCAACCCGTGTGTTTATGTACACGGCGGCTGTGTGCTCACGGGAGCTGCCGAGTACATGTTGAATGTCAGCTGGTCACCAGTTGTGACAGTCTGCTGCCATCCCAGCCTGGCTAACTGCTAGCCTACTAGCTCGTGTCATCATCATGGCTGGCTGGAAATCCCAAAGTCTCACGGCTATGGAAAAACAACCCAAATACCACCGGTGAGAGATATAGTCTTTTTGTAATCACTCACCCGAGTCCGAGAGAAGGTTGTGAAACCAAACTGGAAACGCCGCAGTGAACTCCTCGCCCTGGGTCTGCGGTATGTTTAGGTTTCAGTCGGTGCTTCACTTCAAGGAAGAATAAACTTCCACCATCTTCGTAAACTCACGTCACGTGATCGAAACAAGGTGGGGCGCACGCTGCCACCCCTGTGCGCTGTGATTGGTCCGGAGTCGGGACAGGATGGACCAATGGACGGTCGGTAAACACGATGATGCATTCGGTGTCCCTGTTGAAGTGTTCTGAAAATCCGAATGGATCTTACGTCCGAGGTATTTTTTCAATTGCTATGGACGCACTTTTCGTTGTAGTCTTCAAGTGAACGAAATACAATGAAGAATTAGCGTCTAAATCAGACCCAAATAAATGTTTTCTATATCAGTGAGCATATCATTTGTAATTTATGGAGAAACAAATATTGCTGATCATAAGCTATGCATTGCATCCAGTTGAAAGATTTTGTTTAGTGTCACCTGGCCTATGATTCACCACTAGAAAAATTAACTTAATGCAACCTCACCAAACGAACTTTATATGCGCACGCTCAGTCCATTATCTTTAAATGTGTAACAAAATAAATTGTTACCGACTTAAAACTTCTACCAGACTCCTCAAATTATTCTGTATTAAACTTGCTATAACACTGGCTAATGTGATTGACATCATACATTCCTGATCTCTCCTGTTTTTTCATTGTATTGTTAGACACTGTGGTCCAACTGCCACCGACTTACAAACAGTAGATGGCAGTGTAGTACTTCACAGCAAAATGACCATAGGTTGCTGCTGCAGACAATAACTCCATCATTATTTTCTCTTTAATGTGGACATTGACAGCTTCATTCAATCAATCGTTTATTAATAACCACACGACCGCGTTCGGTGGAATTTGGTTTCGGTACATCACGGTGGGTAAGCTCATTGCAGAAGTCTCACAACATCAAAACAAAGACGTCAACATCACATTAGACACATGACTAACACAACAGTCATTTATACATAACCACAGGACGAAATTGCTTGCTTAAAACAATTGCTAAATTATCTCATCATTATATATTTTTCTTGTTTCATAACCGACAAAAATATGACATTACATTACAATGAACTGAAATCACCAGTGTTTTGCTGGAATGAAACCCAGGAAGTGATATCACTTTGTTTTGCTTTTTTAACGGCTGCTTTTTCCTGTTTTTATAATCATAACTATTGTATTATTCCTACTTTTCTTATTATTATTATTATTGTTGTTGTTGTTGTTGTTGTTGTAGGTATTTGTATTATTATTGATCCTATGTAATGCTCTTACGTCCTATACTTTGCGGATACTGTGTGACATCGATTTTGTTTTATTTTTTTCATTGTGGGGTAGAATAAAACAAATCCAGCACACATAAACGTCTAATGTCTCGAGCCTCTTGTTAATATAATGCCTGTACCAGCTGGTTTTTGAAACAACGACTAGCCTCAAGTGTCCAAATATTACACGACCGTTTTCTTGGTCAAACTAACGGAGACCACCAAGATGAGACCGGAAGTTAATCCTCTCCGTCAGAATAAAGGCTTCTAATTTGTCACTTCGGAAAAAATATGAAATAGAATTTAGGATATACAGGTCATGTTATATTATTATTTCTTTAAATCACCAATAATGTTCTCTCTTGCCTTCAACCATGATTGTGAATCCAACCCATACTGGTGCGGTATCAAGTTTGCTAAGCCTCTTTTATTCTGGCTTCCTTACTGGCTGAACATGCTTCTGGTTAATTGTGAAGACTTTGAATTGGACAATATAATATATCTCTTTTTTTTTTGATTTTTCTAAATGCATCTGCAGTGTCATAGGTATGATCTGACTAAAGTAGAACATATTTTTCTATTGGTCACTACCTGTGCTCCAAAAGCTGAATTTGTATGCTCATTAAATACATTATGCAGCAGCCTACTTTATTGGCGTGTTTTAGTTTGAAAGTGATAACAGGAAAACATGCATTTTCCACTGTGCCCAGCTAGACAGCTGTGGCTGAGCAGTCGAGGTTGGTCAGTGTTGTCAGATGGGCAGCATGACACCCCTCTCTGCGCGGATCATGCGAGCATGGGAATATTTGGAGGAAAAAACAGCTTGACGGCGCCCTCAAAGAAAAGGTAAGCATCGAGTCTCTGCTTTCTCTCTGTAAAAAGAAAAATCAGGCTGCCAGAACAATCCAGACGTCACTTATTGCAGTGGTTTTATGAGGCTTCTCTTGAATGTGGTCGCGTGAAATGTGTCCATGAGTTCAGGATGAAAGAGAACTACGCCTATGCAAGAGTCAACAATAATAATGGTACTATTAGAAAACATTTAGACTTATATAAAACAACTTTTGTATAATGCTTCTAATAATGTTCATGAATAAAAGTCTTTATGGGGATTGTAAAGTGTATACGTATAGAACAAAACTACCATAAGAAGACTATAGAATAGTATATGACTGTGTTTATTATCACAAACCACATTATTAAGGTCTCCATAAAGCAACCATTGACTGCTACAGACACACTAAAAGTTCTCACAGTAATATTAAAGGGATATAACTTTTTTTTCTGCACAGGGTCACAAAGTATATCATTGAGGATGAATGCAGGTTGAGGGAAGGTCACACCCTGAGTTGGCTTGTTGCCTGCCTCTACAGTTGCAATTCTAAGTATATGAATAGAAATAGAATAGAGTTGAATGGAGAGTGTCGCTGTGATTATCTCCACTAATGTGAAACACAGCAGATGGAAAACGAGTCCCATGGTCAGCATACAGGATGGAGGGTGGAAATGAATGAAGTGACAGAAAAGATGGGCAGTATTGCAGCGATTTGTGGTCGTTTACTGGAAGCTGGCAGTGTTTCCTGTCATGAGCGGAGAGCTCTTGGACTCAATCGAGCTTTAGTTAAGCAGCTTTTAAGACAGCAGCTTTTAACAGCAGAAGTAACCTGCAGGTGCAGTATATCTGTACATACTAAATATAAATGACTGAGGGGTTTCAGCTCTCATTGATACCAGCAAAACTAAAGAAGAAAAAAAGTGAAAAAACATCTCTCTTACAGAATTATGCAGTTTGCAAACGAAACAGAATGGTAGAGTTGGATTTCCTCTGGCTGATATTCAGCCCGCATCCAAAGCACCAACACAGAGGGAAACAATGCAGGTATACCACGGCAGCATAGACACACAGGGCTACCTTTAACCTGCTCCCAGCAGCAGCAGGCCTCACAAGTGCTTTGTTATGTTCTCCCAGAATTTGCATTTCTCATGGGTGATTTTCATTCACTTTTGAATGCACATTTGCAATCCCCATGTAAACCCTACAGACTTGCTGGAGGTCCTCCCTTGGATCCTCATCGAAAGCAGACTCATACTGTGTGTGTGTATATATATATCCCACTATATATATATATATATATATATATATATATATATATATATATCCCACTATATATATGCAATCCTACTTGTCACTCTCTGTAATAAAGTGAAGCTCTCTAATATTATTGTCATACCATCCTCGGCCTCTGAAATTTGCCGGGCAGCTTTTATTTCACCAGCAGAGGCTATATTTCCCTGCTTGCTTTGCGTGGGTTTCTGTCTGCAATTGGTTCCATTTCGGCGAGGCGTCTTCAGGAACACGCTTTACCCCTCCCTGCCTATAAAGTGTGGCCAAGTTGTAACCCTCGCTCCCAGCACATCGATCTGAGACCAGCTCCTCTCTTAGCTTCTGAATTCCCGGACCCTTTACACAGTCTGACCCTCGCGTCTGTCCGTGGGAAACTTTCACCCCAGACCGGAGCCCCAGCGGGTCTTGGACTGGAACAGCCTGCTCTTGCCAGGCCGCTAATAGTGTATTAATAAGTGTTTTGGCAGCTACTTTGGTCCCCAACCCCCAGCTCACTCTCCAGTCAACCCCCCTTCCATTTCATAACACAACCCCCCCCCCCCCATCCAAGTACCTGAAAAAACTTGTGCTTATTTTAGACTCGGGAGGAAGATAACTGACACGTCAGGGTTGCACACAAATAATTGCAGGGTGGTTTGTAGTTAAGAGTGGCAAAGATTTTCCTATCATTTGATTTATGAACAATATCAACTCCGTCTATTGTGTTTGTTTTCATGCAATAAAGCTGTAGAAAACTTTAGTTGACGCTCCTTTGAGGGAATCAAGGCTGCTTCTACAATGAGAGCCACCTCATTAATGACAACAATTGAATTGTGTCTTCATTTTTACAGGGAGGGAATATGAGGGTGTCTTTTGAGACTAAGTGACGGAGCAAGACGGGGTTTAGGTAATTATTTTGGGAAAGACCTCTGTGCGATGAAATTTTGTATCTTGGTCTCTCTCACCAGTCTCTCTCAGCTGTCTGGTGGGAGAGCTTTTGCTCTTGCTCGGATGGAGGACTTGAGGGGATGTCGCTGTGATCGTATCGTGGTTCGACCATCGTGTCGAGGGAGCAATGCCTATATTCTCCGTTCTGTGCGGGCCCCTGCTGCTTTTGTAGCCCCCGGGGACAACAAATACACAAAGACACGGCCTGGCATAGCTCCCAAGCTGGAGGAGCTATATTTGGGTCCAGCTATGGGAAAACCACCAAGTCCGTAATCACTCAGACACGGACAGCTTGGTTTTATGTTGTAAATCCGGGTGCTTGCTGGTGTGCTGGCTCTCGAGGGGTGATTCAGGACCAGGCAGGGTGAAGAGCACCACCTTCCACTGAAAGCACTGGACTTTAACAGATGGGGTTAAAAAGATGTGCAACAAAACGTTACACTATATGCAGATCAATTCATGTTCCAGATGGATACGCCTCTTTAATCCTCAACCGCCTCCAAAACATTTGATCTTTGAAGTGCCCCGTTAAACCTGTAATTGAACCTCCTTGTCGTCATCACAGGATTTTGTGTGTTAATTCATTTTTAGGTACACTGCATGTCAAAGTAGCTGCCTTTAAAGATGCATTATTTCCTATTTTCAATATATATACAGTATATATATATATATATATATATATATAAAACATTGACTCAGGAATGTGTATGATGTGAAATGTGTTGACCCCTAGTGAGGAACCGACAAAGAATTATTTGCAAACTAAAGGTTCACAGTACTTTTGAACTCATTGCATTTAACATGAATTAATGTCTCTCATTCATCTCATTTCCAGCTAGTTTCAGTCTTTACATAACATAATATAATACTGTGGTAGACTGGTGTACAGGAGTGATAAAAGGATGAAACTGCAGCAAGTGACAGGTAGGACGTTTTTACAAACTATCGTCATCGGTGGAAATGAGCTCCGATCGTGAAGCGCTGTCGGAGCGTGATCATGTGACGTCGCTTGAATCCAGCTGCAAGATAAGGGCTGTTGGTCAGACTTAGAAAAGTTTGAGATGTCAACTTGTGAATTTCCAGTTTGTTGACATTTTATAGACCAAATGCTTAGTTGATTGATTGAGGACTCAAGAAAAGTGCACCCCCACAGCTAACTAGCTCTCCTACATGAATAGATACACTCCGTTGTAGTCAGCACTCGGTTCAGTTTGTGATTTGCTGAGCAATAGTTATAAATAGGCTAAATACATACGATAGTGTTAGGCTTTCGAATCAAGAGAAGAACAATCAGTCGGTAAACAAGAGTCTAAACTGAAGCAGGGCTTGAGCACTTGCGGCTCTTAACGGCCAGTTGATGAGTAGTGAGGTCAGCAGTCAGTGACAAAACAGTCAATAAAATATGTTGTCAATAAAACGATATAGTGTGAATCACCGCAACCACAAGAGGTCCTTGAGCATACAGTAAGAAATGAGCACGACAGATATCAGGCTGATGGACCCATCAGTATGAGAGATTAGCATGGACAGACAGACACAGAGACACACAAACGCAGAGCCAAATACATAATCTCCTGGCGGATATAACAATCGATTATGAAAATAATCATAAATTGTAGCCCTACTTCAGATAACTCTGTAACAGTAAATGTCCTCACGTTTCGATTGTCTAACAGAGACTTTGTGTGTTCATACTAAAAGGCTTTGTCATCTCACTACGAAAGTCCCTTTGTGTTCGTGTAACAATGGCTTATTTTTAACCTGTCGGGCTGTTTAGACATGCAGAGAGGGGAGAGAAGGGAGGAAGTGGTTGCAGGACGACAAAGGAAGATCCTCCTCAACCTTCATCCTTCCTCCACCTCCCCTGGCATACATACATACATTCATACATGCACACAAGGCTTGGGGTTTGTTGCTCTCTGGATCCCTGCTGGAATAAAAAAATAAATAGCAATAATGTGTGATGCGCACCAACAGACACACACATTTGTTCTCCCCAGATATCTACTAGAGTAATTCACTGACAGTTCGACAGCAGCTTGTTAGAGGGAACTTGAGAAAGCTGAAGAGGGAATTCAGCCCTGAATTCATCATCCCTGAATCTGAACTAAATCCGTCTCACTGAGCAGATGAGGAGATGCAGCTTAAATGAGCTGCTGATTGTGTTTTTGAACACAGAGATGGAAGTGAACTGAAATAGCTGTTATGCATGGTGTCAGATTAAACCACCTTTTGGAGCATCCCTAAGTGAGATTAATTCATAGTGGCGGAAACTAATTAGGCACATGTACCCTACTGAACATCAATGAACAGTTCCTCCAAAATCAAAAATACATGTTTCCTCTTACCTGTAGTGCTATTTATCAGTCTAGATTGTTTTCGGTGGGAGTTGCAGAGTGTTAGAGATATCGTTAGAGATGTCTGCCTTCTCTCCTGTGTTAAAAAAAACATCTGATACCTTTATGAAATGAAGTTACGATGAATCAATGTCTAGTCGGGGCCCCCTGTCATAATGAGAGTTGTTAGCAGTTACATCAAAGAATGTTTGTCCCTCTAAACCTCTCAGACGGTCTATAGAACAGTTTGAGGCCCAAAGAGGTAGAATTATTCAATAGTTCACAAAAAAGCAAAGATTCACACCAAAGCCCACAAAAATGATTCCACAACTTTGTAACAGAACTCTGTTTTTACTTCTTTGCCACCTCATTAATCATCTTACAACCCTTCAGATTTATCTTGTGATCCTTTTCAGGGGCCTGACCCCTGTGTTGGGAACCACCAGACTAAACTATCT